GGGTAGATCTCATTTCGATGGCGGAATGGAGCCCGCCACCTGTCCTTCGTTCAGCCCAAGTCACATGTGCCGCGGCGGCCATTCGCACAGCCACTTTCACACTCAGTGGAGAATGGGAACCGTTCCCCCACCGCCTGCGAGACACCGCCTGGGAGGAGAGCACGATCCAATCCTTCCCTCGGTGGGAAGCTGGGCGCTGGTCCCCCCCCTTCTGGGAAGAGGCCTCGTCCATCGTGCAATTCTACCATGCCCTGTCTAGCGGGCAGCGTGTCTCGCCATTTACCGCAGCAGCTGTGGCCCTGGCGAACCGCGCCGCACGAGCTGAAATTCGAGGGGCGCCCGACGCCGACCCGACGCGTCGCCCGAAGGTACAGAGGGCGGTCGCGCTCGCGCTGCAGCGTGCCTTTTTCTCTTCGCCGTTCACAGTCACTCTCGCGAAGCGCCTTGCAGCGTGGGGCCTTCAGAGTACGCCGCCGCCCCCAGAGCTCGCCACCCGCTGGACCACTCTCGCAAAAGCGCGTGGAGAGGTCCGCCCCAGCTGGCGCTGGGCGGTTTTCAAAACGCTCAGTGGCGGGTGGACGACCACGCACCGCATGCATGTACTAGCTCAGCGCTCGTGTGTATTCGGTTGCCCGAACGCACCCGATTCTTTTCCCCACTACCTCTCCTGCTCCGTCCTCCTGAGCCTCCTCTGGTCCCCCGACCCCGCTCCGCTCCTTAGCACATATACATCGTGGGGCTTAGGCCCTGCAGCAGCGTACCCTTCCGAACCTGCCAGCGACCTCTCGTTGCGGCAGACGATTCGCAGGGTTGCGCTTGCTTTCCACATGTACAACGAAATGAAGCAACACGCAGCGCCGTCGCCAGCAAATATTGCTGCAGCGATGGCCGCAGCGAAATCACTCCTGTGGCGTTGAGCCGCTGTCCGCCGTCTCACGCCTTGCCTCACTATCTAGGCAGGCTTGCGCGTGGGCTGGGCTGACAGACGTGGCCGCCTCAAGGTACGTTCCCTCCTCCTCCCTCTCCTCCTCCTCCTCCTCCTCCTCCTCCTCCTCCTCCTCCTCCTCCTCTTCTTCCTCGCATTCCTTACTCTTCCTCCCTCCTCTTTTCTTCCTCCCCCCTTCAACTCCTCCTGCTTCCTCCTCTTCTTTCCTCACTCGTCCGTTCTCCTCCTCTTTCCCTCTTCCCTGTGCTTGTCGGCGGAGCTGCTGACCTTCGACGGGGGCTTGCGCGCCGTGGCGTGGCCGATGGGCGGCAGCAAAACATCTGGACAGCTCTGGTGGAGCCACATAACAGGCCGGCTTGGACACTGTTTACATCGTTGCGTGGACATGTTTTCACCATCGCAAGCCAACTCCGCGGCGAAACGCATGGAGGGGATGAGGGGAGGAGGGGGAGGGGAAGAGGGGAAGACTGCTGCATAGGCACAGTTGGCCTGCACACGCAGGGGGCCTTCCGATTCGGTCGGACGGACTGCGTCGCAGTCGGCTGCCTGCGGCTGGATCGATTATGTCGGCTGTCGGTTCGTTGGTGTGCCGCCGCTACATTTAGCTCAGCTCCTTTCGCTCGATTTGGTTTCGGTGTCGGTTTCTGTTTCGCTGCCTGTGTGGCCAGTTTCCGATTGTATTGTCGACGTGTGTCTCCCAAGTTTATCAACTTTCGCATGCAACAAGACTCGCGCGCCTGAGTAATGCATCCTCTCCGGACCAAGAGGGGGCCCAGAGCCCGAATCATGTTGCCAATTGAACCGTAGTTGAGATCGGGAGTGCACCAGGGGCCAGCAACTGTCCGAAGGCTTGCCTTGCGGACGGCAGCGGGGGGCAATTACCGTGGGGGAATCGGACATCGAGGATTGCAGGACAGTGGGTGGCCCGAGCAGTTAAACTGTACCTACGCTGCCAACGGGGGCCAAAACGGTGCATGGAAGGCGCACGTCTCTCCACCCCCCGTCTATTGCCCCCCGTTTACGATCACCCGATCTTTGGAAAACGAGAAGGGGGATCGAGATCGACGATCTCGAACATCGTTGGCCCAGGCCTCTGGCGACTCCTGGAGGGACCCTGGAGGGACGGTTGCGTAACATTCGAAAGAGAGGGATGGGGAGGGGCCGGAGATGCAGAGGGGGGTCCAGGGAGAGGAGGAGGGAGGAGGAGGAGAGGGAGGAGGAGGAGGAGGAGGAGGAGGAGGAGGAGAATGAGAGGGGAAGGGAGAAGGAACGGCAGGATGAGCACCACGCACGCTGGGGAACCGGACTGCTCACGCAGCAACAAAAAGAGTTTCATTTCGCCTGCTGGAAGAGCGTGGGGAGGAGAGAGGAGGAGTATCGAAGATGCCTACGGCGAATCACCGCAGCCCCCTGTCTTGGTGGAAGCGCCTAGGTGGCCGAACGTTGAGGCCAGACCTGCCAAGCTATCGGACCATGTGTTGCACGAATCGGTTTGGAAAGCCTTCGGGGAACACGTGGGGATCTTGACGGTCATCTTGGCCGCCTGGAGGCCATTTTGACCCTTTCGGGCGTTTTTGGATGATGTCTTGGAGGGCTCTTGGGCCGACTTGGAGGCCATCTTGAGCGTCTTGGAGGCCTCTTCGGCCATCTTGGGGGCCTCTTGGGGCCGTCTTGGGCTTCTTGGGCGATCTTTGGGGGCACTTGGGCCGTCTCGGGCCGTCGGAAGGCCGACACAACGCAAATGCCACAATCCTTCAAAAACTCTTGGGAAATCAATGATTTGGCTCTTTTCGGGCCTTCCTGGAGGCCCTCTTGGAGGCCTCTTGGGCCGTCTTGGGCCATCTAAGTGCCATCTTCAGCCGTCTTGGTGGGCCCCTGGCCCGTCCGACGCCGTCGGAAGCCGTTTTGGGGGCCTCTCTGAGCCGACTTGGGGCCCTCTTGGAATGTTCAGGGCCGTCTTGGACCCATCTTGGGCGTCTCAAAAGCCTCCTGGGCCGTCTTGGGGGCCTCTTGGGGCCGTCTTGGGGGCCACTTGGACCGTTCTGGGGCCATCTTGGAGGCCTCTTGGGCGCTGTGGGGGCGAGCTTGGGTGCTCTTGGGCCGTATCGGGCCGTCGGAAGGCAGAAACGAATCACATGTCAAAATCCTTTAAACAACTAAGGAATCTATATGTTTTTGGCCTCTTTCTGGCCTTCCTGGAGGCCCTCTTGGAGGCCTCTTGGGCCGTCTTGGGCCAGCTGCGAGCCAGCTTCGGCCATCTTGGTGGGCTCCTGGCCCGTCTGAGGCCGTCGGAAGCCGTTTGGGTGGCCTTTCTGGCCCGACTTCGGGCCCTCTTGGGGTGATCCAGGGCCGTCTTAGAGGCCATCTTGGACGTCTTGGGGGCCTCTTAGGTCCTCTTTGTGCCATCTTGGGGCCGTCTTGGGGGCCTCTTGGGCAGTCCTGAGGCCATCTTGGAAGCCTTTTGGGCGCTGTGGGGGCGATCTTGGGGGCCCCTTGGGCCGTCTTGCGTCGTCGGGAAGCCGAAAATAAGCGAATGCAGGAATCCTTCAACAACGCATGGGGAATAAGTGTTTTTGGCCTCTTCGGGCCCTCCTGGAGGACCTCTTGAAGGCCTCTTGGGCCGTCTTGGAGGCCTTTGGGGGGCCTCTTGGGCCATCTTGGGCCGTCTTGGAGTCTCTTGGGCCGTCCGGAAGGCCGTCTTGGACCATCTTGGGCGGACTTGGAGGCCATCTTGGACTATCTTGGAGGCCATCTTGGGCCAACGTGGCCATCTTGGAGGCCATCTTGGGCCATCTTGAGCGAAACAATTGGGAATTGGGCGCCTTCCGGGTAGCCGGCGGGACGGGCCGAAGCCCCAGGGGGAGTTCTTTTGGAAAAAGAACCAAAACCAAAACCGAAAGGGTCTAGCACGCCAGGCACCCCTGCGATGAGTCGACAGGGGGCGGGAGATCGAATGGCCTTCGGCCCATCCCGCCACCGTGCCTGGGGTGTGGATCAAGGCTTGGATTCTCGGTTCGTGTTCCCCCTCTCGGGCCCTTCTTGAGCGTGTCTTCGGGCCCTCTTCGGCCGTCCTGGCCGCATCTGGGGCCGTCTTGCCCCCTTGGGCCGTCTGGGGGTCCTCTTGGTGGCTTCTTGGGGCGGTCTTGGGCCGTCTTGGAGCGTCGGGAGTTCGAAAAGTCGAGAACCCCGAAAACATTGAACCCCCAAAGGAAAACAAAAGATGTTGACCTCTCGGGGCCATCTTGGGAAGGCTCTTGGGGCTCTCTCGAGGCGCTTGGAAGGCGTCTTGGGTCGTCTTGCCGCCATCTTGGGCGTCTTGGACCGATCGTGCGGTGATTCGGGGCCCCCTTGGACGGTCTGAGCGGTCTTTCGGGGCCCTCTGGGCACCGTCTGGGGCCCTGTTTGGCCCGAAGAAGTCACGCGGGAAATAGCGACGGGCCCCAGGGGCCACGCGGCGCGCCCAACAAGATTTGGCAATTGGGGGCCTGGACTCTCTAAAGTATCTTGAGAATCGGAGACTGAGCCTCAAGAGATTAGGCAAAGGACTTCGGGGCACCCCACTTCGTGCCACAGGCGCACGGTGGCTGATCTGGAGCAGTAACACGAGCAGGAGGGAGACGCTAAGGACCTGCAATGGGTGTACGTCTGGTCCGGTTAGCTGATGTGCAAGGGGGGAATAGTGAACAGCATCGCCGGGCAAACGCCCACCATTTGCCGCCCTCGTTTGTGTTGTCCGAGGAACAACAAAGTTCAAGTGCTGGAGGACCACGCAGAGTTCTTGCGTCGTATCTGGCCCCCCTGGCGGCTGCCCTTGTCGCGCTCTGCGCCCCAGGGGAGAGAGTTCCAGCGCGGACTTAAGACACCCGCACGGACCCCTGGCAGTTGTGTTCATGCAGCGTGGTTGCGCCATCTTCATCATCACCGCAACATGAGAGTCTATGCTTATGCATGTTCTGATTACCCATCTTGTTCCCTTAATTCTTCATTGCGCCATCTCTTCTGCTGTTTGTTGCGTGTGTGTGTGTGTGTGAGTGCTCACCAGCAGCGGTGGCAGGCCATCGTCAATGTCGCTGACCAGGACGCCCCGCAGCTGGCCGAGGAGGAAGATGAGGGCAGAAGGAGAAAGGAGGAGGAAGAGAGAGGCGCGGCGATAGCTGTTATGCTGCAGCAGCACATATCGAGGCGCATGCTGTTGTCGACCACGCTTGGCACGTTTATCTGCTATGTATGGCGGGGATCTTCATGGGAAGGCCAGTGTCGCCCCTCAAAGTCGAGGCCATTGCCTTGGAGAGCACAATCGATCTGTCACCCACTTTTAAAACCTTTGGCTTGTCTTGACAGCCGACATGAAGTGAGGCGGCCGGTGCGACAACATCTTAGGCTCAGGAGAGAGAAAGAGAGGAGGAGGAGCGGGACTGCTCTGCCACAGGCTGGGCTGTCGAAGCAGGCCGTCTCATCAACGAAGCGTTGGATTACTGGCTCGCTAAGTCAGGATCGTCCTTCGATGTTTTGGCATTCTCGTTTCAAGCTGGGGGCACGCTCCTTGCTCTTCGCGCAGAGGCTTCTAACGGGCTCGCGCGGTGGCACAAGCGGTACCGGATTTGCGCCGCCCGCCTCGGAGCAGTGACGAGGGATTTGGGCACGCAAACGTTGGAGACAGTTGGGCCTCGAGGGATCCCAAGGATTGCGCGCAGAACAAAACAGGAGGAGATGAGGAGGATGAGGAGGACGAAAAGGACTAGGGGGAGGGGAAGAGAGGATGAGGAAGATGGTGGGAAGGATGGGAGGGGGCGTCATCGGAGGAGAATGACGAGGCAGGACGCTCGTGAGAGCGGACGGCAGGGAGAGCTAACGACCGTACATGAAAGACAGGGATCTTTCTGGCCGAATGCGCCCAGAAGCCTTGATCCTCGATAAGGCTTTTCAGCTGACCCAGACGGCTGGCGGATTGATGTTTGTTTAGTCCTCAGCTTTTTCCTCGTTTTCGGTTTCCGAAGGCTGCCCAGGACCGTCCAAATAGATCGCGACAGCAAATTGTCCGTGGGAATTGGGTCGAGGCTCCTGGGGCCCGCGGAGAACAACACCACCGCCACCAGCGGGCCACCTCAAGGAGGCAATTCCACGGTGCCTCTCCGAGCTGGAGATTGGATTGGATATGTGTCGAACGGGACGCGGCACAACAGGGGAACCCCGCAAAGGATGACCCTCCTTAGCTCCTCGCGCTGGTGGTAGTGGTGGTGGTGGTGGTGGTGGTGGTGGTGGTGGTGGTGGTGGTGGTGGTGGTGGTGGTGGTGGTGCCGATTCTTGTTGATACTCCACGAATTTCGATCCCCGAACCTCCTGATGCTCCGCGGCGACGACAGCAACGACAATGAGGAGGAGGACGACGACGAAAGACGCCCAGACCTGTCCTGCAGGGTGGTCTGGCCAGAGTGTCGAGGCGACTCCAGCCGTGGCCATGAAGGCGTCCGCAGATGGCCTGAAAGGCCGGGGAAGGGAAACTGTCCGAATTCCTCAGACCTCGATTCTCGAATTTCGGCGACGACAACGACGACGAGGTCGACGACGAAGCCGCCGACGATGAAGTCGACGACGGCGATGGCGACGACGCAGACGCACGCCGCCGCCGCCGCCGACGACGACGGCGGCGACGACGACGACGACGACGATCCGCGGCAGCGGCGACGACGACGGCGACGATGACCAAGAGCCTCGGGGAGCCTCCGCGAGAGAACCTCCGAGAGTTTCGACAACAAGCGAAAACAAGCGAAATTTTGTGAAGGCCTCCGAAAACCGGTGAACATCAACGAGAATCGTTCGAGACTCGGCGAAAACCGCCGCAGGCGACGACGACGACCACGATCGCCACGAGGACGGCTGGACCGCGCTCTCCTACGCCATGAACGCGCCGCTTCCCCCGGGGGCGGGCGAGCAGCTGGAGAAAAAGGCAGGTGAGGGCTGGGTGGGGCAGAGAGGACGATGATGAGGGAGGACGTGGGCGGAGGAGCGAGGAGGGAGGAATGGAGGGAGGAGGACCAGGAGGAGAGTGGGGGTGGAGGGAAGAGGAGGGAAGGAGGAGGAGCAGGAGGAGTAGGATGAGGAGGAGGGAAGTAATCATGGAAGGAAAGGATGGAGAGAGGGAGGAGGAGGAGGAGGAGGAGGAGGAGGAGGAGGAGGAGGAGGAGGAGGAGGAGGAGGAGGAGGAGGAGGATTAGGAGGAGGAGGAGGAGAAGGAGGAGGAAAAGGAGGAGGAGGAAAAGGAGGAGGAGGACGTGGAGGGGGACAAGGAGGAGGAGGAGGAGGAGTGGGAAAGGGAGGAGGATGAGGAGGAGGAACAGGAGGAGCAGGAGGAAAAGGCGCAGGAAAAGGGGGACAAGAGGGATGAGGACGAGGGGAGGAGGACGAGGGGAAGAGGAGGAGGAGGAGAAGACGGAGAAATCGATCGTGATGGAGGTTGCAGAAGGCGCGCGGAAGTGAGGAGGACAAGGGTTTGGGGATGGGTAGCCCGAGGAGGTGGAGGAGAAGGAACCTGTTTTGTACGTCGCAGGAACACATGAGGAGGAAGAGCAGGAGCAGGAGCAGGAGGAGGAGGAGCTGGTAAGGGAGGAAGGAAGGAGGCATGGGCGAATGGCAACGACCAGGAATGTCCGCGGGCGGCAGGGCAAAGAGGAGCGGGGAGGTAAGAGGAGGGAGGGAATGAGGAGGAGGAGGAGGAGGAGGAGGAGGTGGAAGAGGCGAGGGAGGAGACGACGAGCGGGAGGGAGTGCGAAGAAGGCGAGCCTCCAGAGGAGAAGATGGTTGGGTTTGACATTGCGACTGCCGGGAGAGTGCCGGACTTGAATCGACAGCCTGCAGCAAGTGGGCGATATTGCAATCATAATTAATTTGCATCAGATCCAAAAGGCCCCACGCGAATGCTGCGAATGTGAGGAACTAGTTCCTAGGGGAACGTTTGAAGTGCCAGACATTTGAATCGGTGCAGGGCGACGGCAGAAGATCGAAAGAAGAGTGTGAGTGGTTGGACGGGCAGTCAAGAGAGCGAAAGGGAGAAATTGAACGAGCTGAGGGCATGTTGTTCAATGCTCCGTCTTCCGGCTCAAGGCTGATTGGCTTTACAACGTGGCATGTGCGACGTATCTTATTTGTGCGTTCGAACTCTGACATCCACATTGCCCTTTAGATGAAATTTGTTGTTTTTCTGATTGCCATCGGCCTCAAGATTACGACAGCGAATGTTTCCGGGCCAGGGCTTCGAGTTGCTGTTTGCTTAGGCGGCGAAATCCGCGGGGAGCGTTCAACGGAGGTTATCCAGAGCATTGTCGACAATGTCCTGCAGCCCCTCGGGGCGGACGTCTTTGTTTATGTTCCCCTGAAGCGCTACAGGGACCTGCTGTCCCCCAGCCCCGAAGACCTCTTGCTACTCCATCAACTTCCTGGCCTCAAGTCGCTTCATATCGAGCAGGAGAACGCAACGGCCACGCTCATGTCCGAGATGTACCGGGCACATGCCAATAACGCGAGACAAGTGTTTGAGATGACGCGCCGTGTGGCTGGCAACTGGTTGGGGGGCATTGAGGAAGAGAGGCCTAGATACGGACCCTGTGTAGCTTCAGTTCAGCGGTCTGTCCCCTGTGTATGACCGTGAGGGCACTAGATGCCAGGAGTAATGAATTCAAGGACTTCGGCACGTTGGCACACCAAGATCCGTCAGGTCAGTGATCCTGACCTCTGCCGTGCTCATGGTGACTCCCAGGGGCCATATCGCTGGACTGAGGCAACAGAGGGTCCGTGCTGGAGGGACTCCACAGAGGAGGACACGCGGGCCACCTGGCGCCGACCTGGCAACGGCTTGTTGCAGATGCTCACGTGGCGTCGCTGCTTGGACATGGTCGAGCGGGCAGAGTCCATGGCAGAGGGACGCCGGTATGATTGGGTCATACCTTCTCGGCTCAACTTGCAGTGGGAGCATCCCCACATCAGCGTCGTAGAACAAGAGGCTACTTGTGCGAACATCGTCGCAAGATGCCCGATCAAGGTCGCGCGTCGGCTTCCGTTTTTCAACGCGGCGTACGGTGTGAGTGGCTTGCGCAAGCAACCGTGTAAGGACTCCACGTCTTCGTGCGCAAGGTATCCCTTGCTCCCCGTCGCCCGCGTACCGCTAGAGCTTCTCTCGCGCGATGCGGTCTGGATCCCCGAGGGGATGGATTATGGCGGGGTCAACGATCGCCACGCGGTGGTGCCGCGCGGCGACGAGAGGAGCGATGGTAGCCCCTCCGCCTCCGAGATGTACCTGGACTCCTGGCGCTTCCTTGTCGGGGGGCACGCGGTAGCGGCGCTGACGGAATATCTCGTACACCTTTTGCCAGAAGGGGCGACCGTCAGGCACACGGGCTGCGACCCCGATATAGATGGTGCGGAGCACCACCCTTGCATCAATATGGAAAATTGGTTGGCATTGCGTCTCAACACGGTTGGGCACAAGGTCAAGCGGCTCCCGCGATTCGATTGGGTGGTTTGTCAGCCTGGTATGTTTGAGGCCATATCGCCGTATCGCGAGTGTGTTGGCCTCGGCACGCCATATCGGTACGAGGAAGAGTATACGGAGGCCATTCGCATGTCTTCCTGTCTTCGGCAACAGCTCCAGCTGTCATCAACGAGCAACGGCGTCAACGACCTGGTGCATGCAATACCTTCGTTGCGTTGTCAGCACTCTACTGACGACAACTGCACTGCGGGGGAGCTTCAGCGAGTGGTGTCGGCCGTGCGAGTGTGCTTTTGCCCGGCGAACATGGACATGGACGCATTGCGCGCGTCGCCAGAATGTCATGAGGACCAGCCCATGTGCTGGCAGGCTCATCTCGCGTTATGCTTGTGATTACGCTCCTGCTCTCGCGGCCCACTCGCGTGTGGTGGCGTGAAGGTGATCACGTCGTTCTCGTGCTGCAGGATTTGCGCGGCTGCGAGGCGAGCCCGTATCCTTCACCCTGAACTTCCACGCGCGTGGACTGCGAGGGGCACCATGCTGTCGGCGTCTTTCGGCGCCCTGCAGTGCCACGGTCGATCATGGACACCCCCCAGAGGGCCGAATTGAGCCTAAAACGTCCTCGACATTCGACCCTCAATCCACCGTGAGCAGCGGAGGGGCCAGGGCTGTTCTGGCCCCCTGCAGGCTTACGGTCAGGGGCAATGGCTTAGCGTGTCGGGCCGCCAGTTCTGGCCCACCACGTGTCGGCGCGACACACTGACCACGCCCCAGTCCCCACGAGTCAGAGTCCCGATCTTTTTCTGGCCTCCCATCTCACGAAGCGGAGCGACACGCTATCAACTCGCAAGGCATGGCTTGTCGCTGGGGCCGCCGACGCGAACACTAAGCAAAAGTTCCCGACAGCAGTGCCAGAAGCTTTCCTCCCCCGCCCTTGCAGCGAGGGCAGCGTGTCGGGATCTAGGCCCCAGGAACGGCCAGAAGCCCTGATGTTCCCCGCGTTCGCTTCTCCGAGCGCCGCAGACGTCGAGCACTGGTTCCCGCGCGCAGACCAGATCCTGTACAGCTCAGCCCAGCTAGCAGGAGTACTGCTTCGGGGTGGGGTCCGGGGGGGTCGGTGAACGCCCAGCGGATCGAGACCGTGGGCACAGGGTGCAAACTGCCAGGCATCTCGACGAAGCTAGAGAATGATATTGCTTTATCATCCCTGTGCTGGGCCGCAGTGCCAAAACCCCTGTTGTCGCATTTTTTCCTCAACGTGGACCTCTTAAGGTCTCGGCCCTTCCCAGAGACGGGCTCTTCATCCTGAGTCGTTTTCTGACAGTCTCGGTGACTGGAAACTGTCACCAGGAGGGCGAGTACGCAGAAACATGTGCCGTCGCGACTTTTTCCGACGCGAGTGGACTTGGGTCCGCATGTCACGAATCGCCCCCCCGACTTGTCTCCAGACGCGTTCTGGCCATAATTTCGGGGAATAATCCGGCCGTGGCGACGAGAAGCTACCCCGGGAGGCCGGGGCATAGCGGTACACGCCCAGAATTTTCTCGACCTTGAGGAGCGAGGTGTCGGAGGAGGATGGCCTGGGCTGGGCATCGCCGTCGTGGCCCGCAGCGCCGCGGGCGGCCTTGCCGAGACGGGCGGGCACGTATTCTGAGGTCTGGCAGCGCTCGCAGCGCTGTGCACACCGTCGGAGAGGCAAGACCTAGCAGAAGAAGCAGCTGCATCAACATAAGTTGTCGGAAAGGTCCGCGCATATTTCTTGGATCGGCGCCGGGCCCATGACGGCGCCGCCCCTGGCGCGCTCCGCGCACCAGGGAGGGGGGCCCAGCGCAGATCTAAGAAATTCGCGCGAGGGCTCCGAAAGTTTAGGTTCATGCCGTTTCTTTCTCTTCTTCTAGAGCAGGAGCACCCGTCTGTCTCCGCAAGGGGAGGCCATCTGTCTCCGCAGATGTCTGTCCATCTGCTCCGCCAGGTTGTCTCCGTCTGAGCCACGAACAAATACCGACGGCTGTACGCAAACCACCTGCTAAACGTAGTGACATCAACGGGCTCATGCGAGAAATGACTGGAGAATTCTTTGGTTGCACGCCCGATGGAACTTGCTTTAGGTAATGCCGAGGGGGAGAAAGTGGAAGGCAACGACTGAAGGACCACGACGAGTAGGAGGAGGAAAAGACACGCCGTCAAGACTGAATCGGGGTGACAAGATGGAGAAGGACGAGCACCAGCACAAGGATGAGACAAAGGACGGCGCGGAGGGCGATGAGGAATTGCATGGATAGGTGACGACGGAGGTGTTTTCGCCACATCACCCAAAATCGATCCTGGCTTGAGGTTTTCAGCGAACATCGCAGCCTCAACCCTGCGCTGCTCAGTGCGGGCACTGAAGGACCGCCCCTGGGCGTGAGACACGTCGAGAACCGCACATGGACGCGCTGGCACACGCGCTGGCGGCTCAGTCGCCCAATCGCGCAGGAACCTTTTCAGGCCGAGGTGGGCCGCCCATGTCTTCGGCTCCTCCTGCACCTGCCCGCGCGGCCCTTAAATGTCCGCAGGCACGCCGCCATCTCCTCGGGCGGCCGTCGGAGAAAAACGTCAGCCCAGCCAAGGCCACGCCCACAGGCAAATACGGCGTGCAGATGACACCAACATGGGCCTGTAGCATCGGCATCATGCAAGCAGTGTCGGCGATGACCCCGGCTTCCTCAAAGCCAGGCTCTCTTCGGGCGTGGTCTGATCCTGGCGGGCCGTGGACTTGAGTACTTTGATGGTGTCGATGGGCAGGGCCGCTTTTCTTCCGAGTGTCATCCTTTTTTCATCAGTTCATCACTCCGTCTGGCACCGCGTCCCGTAGGACTCCCCAGGAACTCCCGGAAGCGGTCACAGTTTCGCAGCTGGCAGCACCCAGGGACGGGCAGCCCAGACGTTCACGGAAGTCCCCATCGTCGCAGTGGAAATCACGTTTTGGCCCTCCCAGAAGTTCACGACAGCGGCGACATTTGGCTTAAAGGGTGGCTCCAGTGGACCACCGTAAAACGTCACATTGCGGGACCCTCCAGGAGTTCACGAAAGCGGGCAGGGATGCCGGGGTCCCGTTTGCATCCCCGCAACCGTGATCTTATTGAGTTCATTTGTTCTAAAAGCACGCGACGGCGACAACAGTTGTGCAGTTGACAGCACCCATGCGTGACTCCACATGACCCCCTCCCACCCACTTCGGAAGTCATGAAAGCGGCCGCACTTGCGCAGTTGGCGCCACCCAAGGAGGTCAAGGTCCCGCTTGGATCCCCGTAAGACGTCCCACCGCTTGGCCCTTCAGGAACCCTTGGACCGCCGTAAGACATGATACCGCACCAGAGGGCGCAGGAACACGAGAACAGTCTCGCAGCCGGCAGCCCCTGGCAGTGCCCCTGGCAGTGCCCAGAAGGCGGGGTGTGCGGCAGGAGGTGGTAGGAGTCAGGAGCTGGTAGGGCGGGGGGCAGGATAGGGGCGGGACGGGAGGAAGGAGCAGCAGTGCCCCCTTGCAAAGCCAACACCCAGAACAAGGGAGCATTAAAACAACATTGGGCCGTGGGCCCCGATATTCGCGCGTAGGCTGCGGCGTGCCGCGCTGGCGGCTTGCGTGGGCCATCGCGTAAGGTCGCTATGACAGCTTGCAGAATACCTCCTTTCTGTTTCGTCGCTCGCCTGCCTCCGTAAGAAAAAGTCGCGCCCCGCCTGCGCATCCGCGCGGCATGCTCCAGTTGCGGGGGCCGAGCTCGGTCCCCAGGGCACATTTGAACAAGTATTCTGCTTCGGGCGATCCCCACCACGGTGTGCGAATGGTTTCGAACAAGTGCCAACGCGATTATACATGGAATTGAATGCGTCATTTGTCATGGAATTGTATGCGTGCGCTTTGTCGTTGCGCATGTTCGTTGTTTTGTGTGTGTGCGTAAAAGGTTTTACGTGCGCCACGAGTTTGCTTTGTAACTCGAAATGTGGCACTTCAGTCGCTGTCGTATTATATATAGTGTGGATATCGTGCTTTTCTGTACGCCCATACTTTCGCATGCGCCTGTTACCAGCGTCGGTCATTACCGCACGTTTCCCCCCTTGATATGATTGATGGCTGTCTTTGGCGCACTTGCATTCCTGGCCTCGCAGATCGTGGGAGGAGGGTGGTGCGGGCCTTGAAGTCTGGCAAACTCCCCCCTGATCGGAAAACCTGGCCAGTCTAGTGGACTGAGTTGCCCCCCTGCCGCGGCCTCAGGTTCCAGATGGCGCCCCTGGTTCTTGAGGTAACACAAGTTTGATGGAGGTGGTCAGCCCCCCTTTTCCCTGGAGGTCCTGCGTGTAACCACCTACGCAGGCAAGAGGAAAGGAGGAAGAAATGAAGGTGGATGAGGATGAGCAGTGGGGGGAAGGGGAGGTTGGAGGAGGAGGAGGAGGAGGAGGAGGAGGAGGAGGAGGAGGAGCAGGAGGAGGAGGAGAGGAGGAGGAGGATGAGAAGGAGGAGGAGGAGGAGGTGGAGGAATAATAGGAGGGAGGAGGAGGAGGACGGGGGAGGAAGGGGGAGCAGACGACGGCAGGAAGAGGGGGGAGGTCCACATCGACGGCGTCTTCTCGAAGGTATCGATGGCAGAGCTTCTGCTCCTCCACGGGGCGAAGGTCAACACCCAGTCGGTGGCCGCCGCTGTCGCGCCTCGGGCCAACGTGCAGGGGTGGGGCGTGCCTCGGCTGGAGGGGGCTCGGGCGGCGGAGCGGGGGGAGCGGGAGGAGGAGGAGGAGGAGGAGGAGGAGGAGGAGGAGGAGGAGGAGGCCTCGGGCGGAGGAGGGGGGTCTGGGGGAGCGGGAAAGCGGGAAAGCGAGAGGGAGTGGGAGGAGACGGAGAGAGAAAACGAGAGGAGAAGGAGGCAGAGGAGGGGGGAACGAGAAGGGGGATTGAGAAGGAGGGGGAGCAGTAGGAATAAGGACGGCGAAGGAGCCGACGACGCCGACGATGACTATGTCGAGGGACGACGGCGCCGACGACGATGATTCACGACGAAAGGGCAACGACGAGAGGACGACCAGAGCAAGATAATAAGTAGAGCAAGTATGGAGGACGACGGAGGGCAGAAGGAGGAGGGAGAAGGAGACGGAGAAACACGGAGTGAAAGAAGGCAGGGAGACGGGAGCAGCGGAGAAGGGCCAGAGTGTACCCAAGATGCATCACCGATATTGAAGTTACCCGCCCGTCCAAAGTCCACTCCCCATGAGTCCCGAGAAATAGTCTTGATTTCCCCTGCGCGAAACGCTCCCCTTGACAGAGTATCGCCCCGTGTGCTTACCACTCAGGCGAGACTTCGTTTTGCAACTGGCAATCCACATTGCATCCGTCTAGTTTTCAGAAGTGCCAAGAGATGCGCAGGGGCGTACCTTTCGACGAATGTGGACTGAGAGTTGCGCGCTCCGTCTCGTAGGGGATGCGCCCTTCATGCGTGCAGAATATCCAGGGTCTTGTTTGGAAGCCCGAGGACATCTCAAGGGAGAGCCCGATCTGGAAAAGGAACCGCCCTCAGTCCTTGAAGCTGTTGTACAATGTCGAACTCCGGGCCGTAAACAATCATACAGTTCCAAGCGGGAGGCCCAGGTTGCATTACGCTACCGAGGAACCCCACATACCTATTTTATTTCCCATGTGTACCATCGGTGCTTCTGCTGCTGCTCCTCCTTCTCCTCCTCGGTGTCCTCCTCCTGCTGCTGCTTCTGCTGCTGCTGCTTCTGCTGCTGCTGCTGCGTCTGCTGCTGCAGCTGCTGCTGCTGCTGCCGCTGCTGCTGCCCCACCTCCCCGTCCTCCTCCTCCTCCTCCTCCTCCTCCTCCTCCTCCTCCTCCTCCTCCTATGCGTTGGCTGCAACGCATAGGGCCCCCACCCTCAGCGCACCCCCTGTGGCGTCGAGGAAATGCCACGCCTGCCACGCCCTGGGAGCTGTGCTGAGCTGTGCTGTGCTGCGCTGTGCTGTGCTGTGCTGTGTTGTGCTGTGCTGTGCTGCGTTGGGTGCGAGAAGGAGAAGGGGAGGGGGAAGGTGTGAGACGCGGGTGCGGCGCGGCAGGGAAGAAAACCATAACCCCACGAACCATGTGGGGAAGAAAACCAGAACCCCACGAAACATGTGGGGGACAAAAACCAGAACCCCACGAAGCATGTGGGGAACTGTGCTGTGCTGTGCTGTGGGTGAGGGAGGAATGAAGAGGAGGGAGAGGAGGAGGAGGAGGAGGAGGAGGAGGAGGAGGTGAGACGCGGGTGCGGCGCGGCAGTGAAGAAAACCAGAACCCCACTAAACATGTGGGGACAAAGAACCGAGCTCCATTCGCTTAGCAAGTTGAAGTTTTCAAAATGGGTGCGCGCTGCGCCAAGGGGATAACCTGAGTTTGAAAAGAAGCCGCCTTCCATTCGCGGAGCAAATTTACATTTTCAAGACGAGCGCGCGCGGCTCCAAGGCGAGAGCCCCATGTTGAAAATGAACCGCCCTCCAGCTGTGTAACTGCGTGGTGTTTTAAGACGAGTTTAATTTGCGCTGTGCCAGAACGGGATCCCATGCTTGAAAGCGACGTGTGCTTTATCCGTGTAGTTTTCGGGAGCCTCGAGTTTCGATGCCACATTTTGCAAGCAAGTCTCCGGCGAAACGCCCATTCCGTCCTAATGACACGTCGGGTGGGGCGACAGGGCGGGGCCTTCTCCTTGCTCCCCCTCCCTCGTCCGCGTGCTCCTTACCATTCCTCATCCTCCTCCCTCCCTCCTCCGTTTCCTCCTCCTCCTCCTCCTCCTCCTCCTCCTCCTCCTCCTCCTCCTCCTCCTCCTCCTCCTCCCTCCCCTCACGGCACCGTGCGCCGACGAGATAGGGTTGTTGCTAGCGGAGGCCCGCCTGCTCAGCGCTGTCCTGGCACCCTCCCGGGTCATGCGGGCGCTGGCAAACCTTGCTTTCCAGTCCACAAACAGCAACCTTGTACCGTTATGGGGCTCGTGCTCGCCCCTTTCTTGGTGGAGACGCCCGGAACAGCAGCGCGGCGCGGGGCAGCGCGCGCCCACAGACGCTCGTGGCACCGAATTGGGCCGCAGTGCGGGGGCTGAGGCCGAAGCTCGCGCTCTTCTCGCCTCATTCGCCCCTGAATGGTCTGCATGAGGAGTGTCGGAGCTTGCAAATACCTAGGTGTGTACATGGGTCCTGCTGCCACGCTCGCCATGCAGTGGCAGGCTGCTGCCCAGAAGTAGTGAACACGCGTGCAGCTCCATGCCGCCGGCGCTGCGATGACAATCGATGTGTATACGTGCAAAACTTCGACGACACCTGTGTTGTCATATCTTGCTCAGTTGTTTGCCGTCGATTGCAAAGTCCTGCGATACGAGATCTTTGCACTAAACAAAGTTTGCCAGCTACCCCCAGACTCGCTGAAGCTGGCCGATTACCACTCCCTCCACTCGTGGTGCAAAACGGGGCTCTCCCCCATCGTCACCCATAGTGCAGCCGCGGCCTGGTGGTTTGACGGGATCTGGTGTCCTCGCCTAGATGCGCTGTCGGAAACAGCCAGCATGCACGGCTGCCTAACCCGACTTTGTTGTGGATTCTTCAGTCCGCCCGTCTGGCAGCAGCAGAGCATTGGTGAAGTGAACGCCTCGATGACCAGCGGCCGCCTCATCCAGATTTCTTCTCGGAGACTGATCTCGACTGCCAGCTCGCGCTGGCCGCGACGCAGCCGCGCAAGCCGCACGCGTTGGCCAGCGCCCTGGGCTTCAACGGGCTGTCGCTCGGGCTCTGTCTACGCCCTTGTTCCCCGACACCTTCGCCTCCACCATCGCCATGCGTTTCAAAGTGTTGGATCCATCATCCGAGCCGCCTGCCGATTTAGAGCTCCGCTGGCAAGCGATGCGGCGTGAGCTCGCGCAGGTGTCCCCGACCCACCAATGGCGCGTGGTAAAGACGCTTTGCGCGGGCTGGATAACGTCCCACAGGGTGCACGTCCTGAAGCCTCGCCCTTTTGTTTCGGTTGCTCGGCACGGGATTCGACGTGCCGTTATTGGCAATGCCCTTGTCTCCCGCGTTTTACTGCCTTCCCCCGCGCCTTCTCGAGTCCGCGCTTACCCGTCATGTGGGGAGTGGGTTCTGAGCAGGACGAGGCCTTCCCAGACGATGCTCGCCCGGCGGTCAACCGCAGGATGATCATCGCACGTTATCCCTGTCGCACGGGGAAATTCGAGCTGGACTCTCTGCCAGAGCGTCAGGGAGAGCGCATCTGGGGCTCTTCGGCCTTCGCTCACAGATGCCTGCTGGCGTCACGCCAGAATGCCGAGCTATGAATTGCCATTGTAATTCTGACGTCAGAATTCAAGGCGTGTTGGGGTGTTGGGGTGTTGGCGCTCGGTGGCTCTTGAGGTAGAACGTGGGGGTACTCGTGTATTCCGAATTGCCAATCACCGGGCTCCCAGGCAAAAGCTGTCACGGGTAGCCCTCCCGCTGCCTTGGCCACGGGGCCGTTAGCGATTTCAAATGTCAGTTAATCGATTACTTGTGAGGGTGAGGGGGTGGTAGTATCATGTGGTTGGGCGTGGTGCTCATGTCAGAAATTGCCGTGGCAAGTCAGTGCTCCCGCCCCTGGTCGTTGAGCACTGGCACGCCGCCCCTTCATATTGCTGGGCCTCTTTTCTCGCCGTCAACTGCTCGATCGCGGCGAGGCCCCAGCCCTTCGGATGGATCGGCACTCCTCAGACTACGTCCACTCCTCCTCCTCCTCCTCCTCTCCCTCCTCCTCCTCCTCCCTCCCTCCCTCCCTCCCTCACTCTTCCACCGCGCGGGGGGGAGGAGGCGCCGCCGCTTGCGAACGCCGTCCGCGCCAGCACACTGGCGGCAGGCCAGATACGCAGCCTGGCGGCCTGCACGACAACCCGCCCGTCTGGCGCGCACGTGGTGCCAGCCGGCGGGAAGGGCCCGCCTGGGATCACCCATCTCGCCGGAGGCACTCACGTGGGCCCTCCACCGCGCAGAGAGAGACAGAGGGAAGTGGAAGGGGGAGGAAGGGGGGCGGGGGAGAGGAATAGGAGGAGGGAGAGACGCGGGCCGCACCGTCATCGCCGTCGTGTGGCGCTGCCGCCTCGCCGTCGCCGTCGCCGTCGCCTCCCCCGCTGTGCCCCGTCCTCCGCCGTCGCCAACACCGTCTGCGCCGTCTGATGCCCTCGTCGTCGTCGTCGTCGTCGTCGTCGTCGTCGCCGTCGTCGTCGTCGCCGTCGTCGTCGTCGTCGTCGTCGTCGTCGTCGTCGTCGTCGCCTGGCGCCGCCGCCCGCCGGAGCCCTCTGGCGCTGCAGGTGGACGGTCTGTCCCCGCTCGTCGTGGCTTGCGCCCAGGATCGGCCCCTGGCTGTCCGGAAGCTACTCGAGCACCGGGCCCAGGCGTGCCGCCGCCGCTGCCGCCCATTCGGCCGCTGCAGCCGACCGACGGCGCCGCCTGGACGAGGAGGATAACTTAGGAGGAGGAACAGGGAAGGAGAGAGGCGGGGGAGAGGAACAGGAAGGAGGGGAGGGGGGAGGATGGAAGGGAGGGGTAGGAGAGGAGGGGGAGGAGGAGGGGGAGGAGGAGGAGGAGGGAGAGGAGGAAGAGGAGGAGGAGGAGGAGAGGAAGAGGAGGAACAGGATAAATATTATGATGAGGAGGAAGAGGAGGAAGAGGAGGATGAGGAGGAGGAGGAGGATGATGATGATGGTGGTGGTGATGATAATGATTATGAGCAGGAGGAGGAGGAGGAGAGGAAGTATTAGAGCATGGTGCTTCGATCGGGTGAGAAGCATAGTTGAGTGTTAGGGTCGATCGGCCGTCGCTTCCGACTCGAATCGGCTCAAGTATTCAACCTACCGAGCGCACGCATTCTCGCCACGGCATACAACAAAAACTATCGTCCCGGGCGATTCCTCCTCCAAGTTCGCATGGTATTTAGGTGAGGTTGGTGGCAGCCGCAGCAGCCTCAGCTCCATCTCCAGCTCCAGCATGCGATCCCCGACCGGATTCCAATACACCTTAGTACAGAAATCAGCAGTTAGACATACATCCAGTACGTTTCACTGAGTTGCGCGAAGTTGCCGATTGCACTGGGAACTTAAGTTGTGTGAAACTTGTGCTGACAGCCGACCATGCGGGCATGAAGGAGTTCATCCAATGGCAGATAGCAGCGGGAGTAATAACCGCTACGGATGCAAAAAAACGCTATGGGCTAGTTTCCATGACGCCGAAGATGCACGCATTACTGCCAAGCACGGGTAGTCGACAAATGTTGCCGAGGGTGAAGCAAGAGAACTCCATGTAAGAGTTGGTCACCCAGAGGATCACATGGGCGTTCAAAGGAACAGGATGGAACACATATTACCAAGATATCATAATCGACTGCAGAGAGTAGGAACTGTCCATGCGGAGGTGGACGCAAGCGAGCTCGGGCTCATCAGTCATGCAACAGCTAAATTCTGGGAGTGAAACGAAAAACTGATCAACGCGCTGGCACTAGTTAGCCCCACATACCGAAATTCTCTTACGAACCCGGATTAAACTAGAAACCGCGGGTGGAACGTTACATGTCGAAGATGACGACAAGCTCATAATCCTGAGCAGACGGTAAATTGCGACTGACTGCACCAACACGGCTCAGGCAAGAACGTGTGATTTTATCGCTTGGGCCATGACGCGCGCTATGGCCGCCCAGCCCCCCACACCCTTATCGTAACGCTCTGGCTCCCACTGCGCCCACGGCGCCGTGCGCATGGGGATCCGCATAAGAGCCCGAATAGGGATCCGCATAGGAAACCGCCCAAATATTCGCATAGGGATCCACATGGGGATCGTATGGAGATATCCATCGGGATCCGCATAGGGATCCGCATGGGATTCCCAGGGATCGTTATGGAGATCCGCGTAGGGATCTGCATCGGGATCCGCATCGGGATCCGCGTGGAGATCCGCATAAAAAACCCCAAAGGCATCCGCATAGGGATCCGCACAGGGATCCGCATGGCAAGTCGCATCGGCATCCGCAAAGGGATCCGCATGGGCACCCACAGGGATTAGGATCCCCAGAAGGGGTCCTCATAGGCATCCGCATAGAGATTCACATAGGGGCGTCGGTCACCGGTAAGTTGCGGTGTTCTCAGGCACTTGTGGTGTTCGTAGGGAAGAGAGCAATACGAGTAGGAGGACGACGACGTCGACGACGACGACGAGGATGGAGGGTTGCCTCTTATACGCCACGTGGAGGCAACGACTCGTCGCTCTTCGTCGCAGACATGTGCTCGCCACAACTCGTCGCTCTTCGTTGTCCGTCGTCGTCATCGTCGTCGTCGTCGCTCGTCGTCGTTGTCGTCGCTTGTCGTCGTCGTCGTCGTCATCTTCGTCGTCATCGGCCCTGTCGTCGGTCGTCATCGCTCGCGGTCGTTCGTCGTTGTCGACGCTTTCGAATGCGTTCGGGGGCCTTTGGAGACCTTTGGATGACTTCTGGGAGGCCTCTGGGGTTTTCCAGAGATTTCAGGAGGCCTCTGGAGGCCCCGGGAAACCTCCAAAGACCTCGTCGTCGTCGTCATCGTCGTCGTCGTTGTCGTCGTGGTCGCCCGTCGTCGTCGTCGTCGTCGTCGTCGCTGTCGCACGTCGTCGTCGTGCGCGCGGACGCTGTGGTGGCGCCGGAACCACACGGCGGAGGGGCTTGCGTTACGTTATGTCCCGTTCCCGGCTCCTTCCCCATTACGCCCGTTATCGCCGCAAATACAGAAACGCGCCTAACTGGATGTGACGACGGTGGTGAAGGAGAGTTGGGAACAGACGAAGTAATGGTACACAAGTCCGATGGGTACCTTCGGCACATTCTCAACGATGATTTGGACGGGGTGGATCCCAGAGGCAAGCTCAATGAGTCACGCGAGGGTGATGGGCTGCAGGCGTACCACAATAAATCCCGTGGCAATCAGCTGTAGCGGGAGTTACCCCATCAGCCAAGATGGGCCTGGCAATTAAACCGGACAAGCCCAAGACAGCCGGCGACGTTGCGACCATGTTAGAGCAACGGAACGCAGTGCCCGAAACATTTGACACATATTGTCCAGCATGTTCACTAAATTGCCCATGTTCGATTTACCGCGCTACGGATCATGATGTGTCATGCACGAGTTTCTGGCACCCGTATTATTCAAAGCCTCCAGACTCCCTCCGCTAACGCAACAGAGCTCTATGCCAAACATAATCTCTGGATCAGGAAGGAAACGTCGGACGCCGAAGCCAGAAACAACGACGCAGTGGACATCGGAGGGCGAGCGCAACGACAACAAGAAGAACGACAATTAATGTGACATCAACGGAAATGGAACGCAGATGGATGCATCGACGCGGAAGCGGCGCGCTGATTCAAGCTGGGACCAGTGGGAATCTCACGAAGGCGAGAGCGGAGCGGATGCCGATCACAAAGGAAAATGAGGAAATGTGCCTAAGTGCGACAAGTGTAGCAACTTTGGGCACATCGCGGCCAACTACAGACATGGTTCCGACAAGTATGGCAAAAGTAGGGGCGGCGATGCATGAGGAAACCAGATGACGCGTGGGGCTTGTTTGGAATGTTTCACGCTAAGGTACTGGAAATTTCCAGCGGAGGAAAACGCCAGGGCGGGCGGAACAGGGGGGCGCGTTCCTACGACGGATCGACACTGGCACAAACGTGGTCGGAAGGACCGTCCATCGGCTCGCTGCGCCGAGGCAGACGCAAGCGAGGTCGAAGGGAGTGTCGAAGCAAAACGGGGTCGGATAGTCATGGAGGAGCGGCTGAATGCATCAGCATTTCGCTCGGCCCAACAGATGCCCGGATGCCGCGGGGTCGAGGCGCCCCAGGGCCACCCCGGGCGTTGGGCGAGTGGATCCAACGGCCATGCGCAATGAAGAAGGCACACAGACAGAGACGCATGGCATGGGGCGACAGTTACCCAGGGCACGTACGCATCGACAGATGCCCAGGTCACAGCCGCCGGGTACCAGAGTCATCAACGGCATCAGAATGGAAATGGGCTTGGCCCAGAAGTGCGCGGAGGCGCGGGATGTCGAGGCCCTAGGCGACGCCCTGGAGGTTCGCGGCGCCGAGCCCACGGAGGACGCAGAAGGGGTCGACGATATTGTCGCGGCACTTGTAGACTCCAGCGCGCATGGCGCAGTTGGGCCCCCGAGCGCTAGAACTCACGCGCCAATTGGGCCGGCTGAGGCGCCCCGAGTTGCGAAGCGTTACGGCGCGGCCAATGGGGCAGCCCTTCAGCGTTGTCGTCAGAGGATCACTGTTGGGGGCAACGGCCAGGGAAGCAGAGCTAGCGCGCAGACCTCAGGCGGCGGCCGTCGAGATGGCCATAGGCTTCGCGAGGGCCGCGGTTGTAGCTGGCAGCGGCATAGTTCTGGATCGCGATGAAAGGGGCGCCCCTGCAGACATGGCGCGCGGGACTTCGGAGCGGCGGACAGCGGCGCGCGACGGAGGGGGCGCGCCCCAGCGCAGCGCGAGGGCGCGAGCATCTGAAACCTCAGAGGACAGGAGTGCCAGCGCAAGAGAACGCGCGGAGTGCTTTTGCCCCCCAACCATCCTGCGGTGATGGGTCATCGTTGCGAACGGACAGCGCCCCGCGCACCTGCCTTCTCCCCGCCCCCCCCGCCCCCCCCCGCCCCCCCCCCCCCCTTTCCCCCCTCGCTCTGTCGCGCCCCTCGCGCGCGCCGCTGCCCCGCAGGGTGCTCCGCCCGCGGCCCGAGCGCTGGCGCTCGCGCGCGCCCGCCGCGCCCATTTTGGCGCGCCTCTCAGACGCTTCGTGGCCCCGTGGGGAGCTCCGCCGAAGGTCCAGATGCCGGCGCTCGCGCGCGCCCGCCGCGCCCCCTTCGACGCGCCCCCCACGCGTTTCGCGGCCCCGCAGAGAGCTCCTTCACCGGAGGCCCAGACGCCAACTTTCGCTCGCGCCCAGCGCGCTCCTTTTGACGAGCCCCTCGCGCGCTTCGCGGCCCAGCGGGGAGCTCCGCCGAAGGCCCAGATACCCGCGAACGCGCGCGCCCGCCGCGCCCACTGCGGCACGCCCCTCAAACGTTTCGCGGCCCCGCGGGGGGCTCCACCGAAGGCCCAAATGCCAGCGCTCGCGCGCGCCCACTGCGCCCATTTGGGCGCGCCCCCGCGCGGTTCGTGGCCCCGTTGGGAGCTCCGCCGAACGGCCAGATGCTGGCGCTCGCGCGCGCCCGCCGCGCGCCCATTGACGCGCCCCTGGCAAGTTTCGTGGCCCCGCAGAGAGCTCCACCGAAGGCCCAGGCGCCAGCGCTCGCGCGCGCCAGCCGCGCGCGCGTCGGCTCGCCCCCCCTCGCGGTTCGGGGCCCCGCGGGGAGATCCACCGCAGGCCCGAAACGCCCGCCGCAC